GTGATAGCACTTTGTGTGCTTATCTGTTCCGACTCTGATAATCTGAGATCTGTATTGCGAATATTTGTCTACTCGCGTACCTTATATTCTCTTAAATTATACTTTGAGCTATAAAAATGAAATAAGAAAGTTCTGAAAAGTGTCTGACTACAAAGGAATATAAACTGATTATTCTTTCTAACCTGATTTATTATGATCTTGTGAAAATTATCAGATGATTCTTTTCAGGTTTATGATAAAGTTCAAATGAGATATCTGGTTTGAACATTCTGAAAATTCTGTCTGTTTTATTTTAACGATTTTTTTCATATATTACCATCTTTTATTAAATTGTTCTCACCTTTAGTATTATTGTCTCACTAAGTTATACTTAGCATTTGTTGATTTTCATGTGATGATTTTCATGCGTAGGTTCTGATTAAGACACAGACGTTTTGTGAGGAGCCTCTCAAGCATCTTGTGCATATCATCTATAATATCAGTATCAGTAAGACATCACTGGTGTTTTGTTTTACTAGTAGTGGCATGTATATTTATGTTATCAACCTAGTTTATCAGTTATGACTATATGATATGTAATAGTAAATTAGGACTATTTAGTTTGACTAGTTTAATTTATCAGTATTGTGATATGTCTGAATATATATATATAGTAGTTTAAAATATTATGTTTTTAAATGGTTCATAAAAAGTAGTTTTAAAAGTTGAAATTAGAAATGTTTTAAAAGAAATAAAATTTTAAATAACTGTGAAGAGTAATTGTTAGTCAGTTTGATGTGACATATATGATTCGTATTCTTAGATGTTTACGGGCTATGGGTGTTATAATAATACTTCAGTGAATGTGGTAACAACGTCTAGCTCATCATCTCTAATAATAGAAGGATCATCCGTTATTTGGACAAATTTAATATGGTTAAATAAAACAAAATATTATGTTGTCACATCTTAAAATTATATCCATAGAATTTTAGAAGTTTCTCATTATGGCTCATAACCATCGATAATCATGATTTCGTTTAACACATGAAATTAGAATTAATAATAATCCCAACAATCAACCGAAACAAATTATGGCTTATTCTACCAACAGAATTTAGTTAGAAACTAACAGTGACAAAATCGTTACTTTCAAATGATTTCTATTGTAAATAGTAATCAAATAATTATGTTAAGTGACAGAATTACAATCCTAATTGATTTCAAATACGAAATCAAAATTCCAATAAACAGAAAATTTAATTATCATTTATTTTTTATTTTGTTATCGAATAGAATCCATATTCTGAAACAAAATCAGTAACCAAAGTTACTTTTACGACAATTTATGTTAAACAGATTTGTCCACTTTTAGATTTTAGTAAACCCGTTAAGACGACATGATAAATCCCGAAACAAATTTATTTACTATCTCGTTTTTTCCACGATATCTGAACAGTTTTAGATTAAAGAATGGTAGAAAAAAGAGTTTTGAAATGTTGTCAACCAAAACATGAATTCTTAATCATCATTACTAATTTCACCTTTGTTAATCAAAAACTTAAACCATCAAGATTCAAGGTGTGCCTCATAAAGTGCGCAACCACAAAGATCTTGAAAATATTTTGGAATATAATTATTTGAATTCCTACGTAAAAATTATACTCAAAATTATTCTACAAAAAATTTGAAATTTATTGATTCAAAATTGAAGAAAACTTATCGTTGGCGTAAATTCCTCTGGATTTTTGCCTAATATTTGTTTTGTCAAAATTTTGGCACTTCCCTAGTACACAACAAGGATTAAACTCAAACAAATTCTATATCATCTCGGACAAAAGAATAAATTTGTCTTAAGATTGTTAGAAAAAATTGCATTAATCCGAGAATAATATAGAAAAAAATAATGATTGAAATATCATTAAAAATTAAAGAGAAAGAACAAATTTACTATATCTTGAGATTATTATGCAAAATAGAAATCTAAGATGAAATCGAATATGGAAAAATAAAGTAAAGAAGTTAAACTTCTTAAAACCAAATAAAAAATAAGTGGAAAAAATACTTCTTTTTATTGATCTATCAATTGGAAATAATTAGGTATGTCGTTACACAGTTACCTTAATATAAATTTTCGGTCATTCTTTTGGTGCACGAGTTCGTTAGTCGTCTGTCTCCCAAGATACAACAACTAGATGATCAGCTACAGTAGCACAACTACGGATATCACGAATGATCATTGCCTTCGTCTATCACCGAAAAATTGGTGAAAAACTTTTCTACTTTTCAACTTGTGAAAACGTGTTCAAAATTGTTCAAAAACTTGTGTTTACCTAGTAGGTTAGCACAATATTTATAGGAGATTTCCGATAGAGAATTAATTCAATCAGATATCTTTTAAGATTTAAATTTAAACAAATAATAATACATTTTAATTTGAAATATTCAAAAGGCATAGACACCTTTTACTATTTAAACTTAAATATATATTATTTTAATTTAGAATATTCAAAAGTATATAATTATCTTCAATATTCAAGATTAAATATATAATAAATACCTCTTTAATTTGATATTTTTAAAGAGTAATTATCTTACTAATATTCAATTAAAAATATCTTTTAATTTACAATAATAATAATAATATAAATTTAATTTAAATATTAAATCTATCGATGAATCTCGTTCTTTTCCCAATAAAATCTCCGCAACTGCTATTGCAGTCATGATGGCCACCAAAAAACAAATTGTTCCAATCATGGTGGATCAAGATAACAGGCTTTCGACTGGTCACTATGGGTAAAATTGGCACAGTAAGGTATATGAGTTTTTTATTTAGCCCATTAGGGCAAGTAAAACTTTATTTTGGGATCTATTATATTTTCTACAATGACATGGAACTCGTCACGCCGAGGTAACGAGTTCTAATAAAAAATATTTTTTATTCTAACTTTTTACCTCTATGTGATAGATTTAATAAAAAAATTATATTTTATTGGAACTATTCACCTCGGCGTGATGAGTTCTAATAACACTGTAAAAATGTTATATATCTCAAAATAAATTTTTACTTGCCCTAATGCACTAAATAAAAAACATGTTATCCTTATTGGGCCAAAAAAATCGGCCACGATATGCTGACTTGCTCTATGGTTGGCCCCAAAAGACAATCAAATCCAATTTATTCTCAATGTCTCATTACTTAGTACACAACGAAGATGCCTTGTCATTAGCCCCTTTCATTCGATAGCTGATTGACAATGCATCGTTTTGATATCAAATAAATTTTACACAGTATCAATAAAAATAAAATAAAGAATAGTATAGAGAGAGTAGGAATCAATCCACAAGGATTATGAAGATTGTCGATGAAGTGATCTTTGCTTATAGATCGGGCGAAAATTGCAAGTAAACGAAGAAAAAAAGGGGTATTGTTTGAAAAGTAAAATAAAGTAAAATTAAAATAAAGTAATTTTGAACTAATAATTCAATAATAAAAATTAGCCTCAGGCTTTCTCTTTGCCTCAAATTCCGTCGATTATTGAATAGATTTTAGCTTCGGATTCATGTCGGTTACCGTCTATAGGGCCCAACTCCTATAATTTGTTTTTCTCTTATGTGAACCGACAATCCAAATCAGGCTTTGATTATCAGTCCTTATGTGGACTAATCATGGCAATCGTTATTAGCATCAACTCAGTTAAAAAGCTTTGGAAAAACCCGACTCGGATTATAGTGTCTTATTGAGAATCAAATCCGATATCTGTTTCCCTGCTAAGTGTGTTCATAGGAAGTCAAATGTGCTACAAGTCGATTCTTCCTCCCAACTGTTAATCGAAAATACAATCAATTCAACATGCACTTTTTGAAAAGAAAACATTTTTTATTATAAAAGGATGTCGATTACCGATCATTGATTCTAGAAAACTAGAATGTAACCTGAAGGATATTAAATGTTTTTCAATTCTCACGATCGGAATTGAATCATTGTTTCATCCTTTGGCTATGAAAAATATAGCTAAGTATGATAGGAATCATCCTTAGCACTTTTAAACAAAAATTAAGTAAAAACGAAAGAGAAAAGTAAAAACTTTTATAGAAAAAGAAAAACAAGAACAAAGAAGTTCAGACAATCTGAAATATCTAAGATATGTCACCCCAAGGGTATTTATAGCTTCCTAAAAGCTCTAAAAATGCTGAAGATAAATCCTAAAAATTACAAAGGATAATTTCTAAAAATTGTTTGAATTAAATCCTAAAAATAAAGATAATTCCTAAATTCGAATTTGAATTTACGGATGAGTCTTCTGTCTTCAAGAAAATGTTGACTGAACTTTCTAAAAGATATGACTGGATGTCACATCAGTCGAGTCATGCCCCAAGCCCACTAGTCCAGCCTTGACTCCAGAAAAATAAAAACTGCAGAATTCCATCCTTTTTAACACAGTTTCTGGAATCCAATGTCCTACACAGAAATTAAGAAAAAATCACCCAAAATAACAACATAAACCGACGAACAAGGAGTAGTTAACAACAAAATAATATCTATTTAAATCACTCATCACTGGTCTGCATCAACTTTATTAGATGTTTGTTCATTTGATGGATTTCTATTGCAGGACACAACTTCAAGATGCTGTTTTAGGAGGAATCGCATTCATTTGATATTATACTCCCTTCTGATGTATCACCCAGCTGCTCCACTCTTATAAGGGTTTCTACGGCATCAAGCAGCTGGTTGATGTCGGAAGCAACCTCAGCATCATTCTTCTGTATATCACCTCCAAATACCCAACCAATGTGGGACACTTGCATTTGCATTACGAAAAAGTCTTAACATAGATTTTGTCAAGACACTAAATGAAACCCCTTCTGTCAAGGCACTACATTACTTGTCTTCAAATTCAATCAAATTCAAATGGTTAATGATAAAAATTGCTCTTGCCTTCAAATTCACAGAATTAATTGTGTTATTGAATTCAAGGTCTTTCTTTTGCTTCAAGCTCAAGTAATAAGAAAAATGGTCCAAAATAGATGGTTCATGAAACAGAAATTTACAGAATACATACCGACTATACATTGGATACAAACCTCTAGATAGAGAATCACAAGCTAATCTACATGGCAATTACATATATATAACAGTGAGACCCATGCATGCTCTGTATTATTCTCTTTCATTTAACGCTCAACCTGAATGGTAACATGACTGATATTATACTCCCTTCTGATGTATTCGATTACGTTGTCTAAGACCTTGTCTGCATCAGCTTCTGGTGCGATTTTAACATGGCAAGCCAACAGAACCTTCCCCACAGTAATGGCCCATATATGCAGCTCGTGAACAGCAACCACATCCCCCATTTCCAGCAGCCCCGTTTCTAGCTTTGTTGCGTCAATCTCTCGAGGTGTGCTCTCCATCAGCACTTCGAGTATGCTGCGCAACATTCTTATGGTAGTCCCCAAAACAATTACTGCAAATATTAGTGTGCAAATCAGATCAACTATTTTCCATTCAGGCTTATACCATATGATTGCTCCTCCAATCATCACTCCGATACTTTGGATGGAATCCCCCAGTACGTGAAGATAAGCTCCCTGGACATTTATATTCATCCATTTCTTCTTCTTCGGCTTATCAAGCAGAGGTTCTGTCTGTTCTTTGTGAACATGGTGGTGCCCCTCATGTTTAGTGTGCTCTGTCCCATCATGATGATGGTGGTGCTCAGTCTTGGAGTGCTCCTCAGGACGATGGTGGTGTTCTCCTGTGGCGTGTCCCTCGTGATGGTGTGTGGTAATGCTCACTCCATGACTGTGATCACTATGGCAGTGATCATGACCATGACCGTGATCATGTCCCAATAATAGAGCCATGATTATATTAACCACTAGTCCGAAAGCAGCAACGACAAACATTAGAAATCCATACACCTCACCTGTGTCATTAATGAGTCTAACAATGGCTTCATAAACTAAAATTCCTGCAAGCAACCATATCATTTGGATTGAGACCAAGGCCCCAAGGATCTCAATCCTAAAAAATCCATACGATTGACGGCGATTGGTTTCCCAGCCGGCTGCCCATAATGAAAACAAGGAGATGGCAAAAGCTGCCACATCTGAAAGCAAATGTGCTGCATCGGTTAATATTGCTAGACTATTGGCTTTGATGCCTCCCACTACTTCTACACTCATGAAGATGATGCAAAGCGCCACGGCAATGAAAAGCTTGCGCATTGAAGCCGATCTTTCTTCAGCATCTTTAGAGCTATTACCAGCGTTCGAAAGTCCACATGCTGTTTCCCCACACAGCTTACTTCCTCCAATACTCCTTTGGCCTTCAGCAACATCCACATTTATTTCAATATCTTGCCCATGTTGTGGATTTGCACTTCCATCTGAAAATTGATGCAACAACATGAAGGATATAAACAGAATTCCATAACCAAAACATTTCTAAGTGAGACATGTAATTATGTACAACCAAAACAAAATGCCTTTCCATTTATTTATTTTTTCTATATCTCTGATGACCATCAATAAAGAATCGTAAGGGAAAAGCATCTATAAGGCATAGAATTAAAAAAATATATAAGCAATAGATGACTTTTCATAGGTCTACTTTCCTAATCAGCATCGACACTTCAGCTAAGTACTGACCACTACAGAACTGTGCTTATATTAAATGCCTATTTGGAAAGCATCATTTAAGCGAACCGGGCACTAGTTGTCAGCTAATGACAAGGATTTTTTGATTACATAAACCTAAATCACACTAGAGGATTTGTAAAATGAACTTATGATATTATGCTTGTTTCCTAGTATTTGAAGCAATTGATCAATCTATGCTTGTTTTACTACCATGAACTGTTTCGATTAAGCACCCAACAAAATCTGATAGAACAGAGCATTTTGACCATGCATCATATGACTCAAAGAGGCTGATAAAAAGTGGGTAAAGTTGAAATCATATATATGACAGGCAAAAGATAGACTTTTGGTTGATGAACCATGTCCTCATATGCAAACATCTTTCTTCTCTACAACAATGGATTATAGGAACGTGATGATTCCTATGTTCCTTTAAAGATTTAGAAAGAGAAAAACAATCCCAGAAATGTTAAAGCTAAAAAAATTGAAAATGATATTGTTTAAAAGAACATTAAGCAGAACTCAATGATAGCGAACATCTGACAAAAGATTAAACAGATTAAAAGTTTGACCATCAATATACAAGCAATGCCTTCAAATATATTATGTGAAGAAGATCCATATAAACCTGGGAGATAAGCGAGATTGTTACTTCACAAGGAGCTGATACATGTAAATTAAGGACACAAGCAGGAATTGTTACCTCACAACCAGCTAATACATATAAAATAGGGAGCTGTTATATATATATATATATAGACTATTAGGGAGATAAGCAAGTCCCTGGCAAGGAACTAAATTTGGCAGAGACAATGACAAGGTGAAAGGACAAAAACTAACACCTTGCCTAATTGTCAATCTCTTCGCCGGCGATCAAATTTATTATTAAAAGCAAAAGCATCACAATCAGAAATATATGGTAATTGTTTGTGAGTTGGAAGTATTTGATTGATTAACCTGAAGACACACAGAACTTACTTCAGTAAAAAAAAAAATCTTCCATCACGGTCTTGAACAGCTCTTTTGTACTTCTGCTCAGGAATTACATCAAACATTGGATACACACTAAAAGCAGACTTAATCTATGTTGTCACCACTCACAATGGACAAATAATCAAAATAACCACATATATAATAGAAATAAAAAAGGGAACGTAAAATCATGATGATTATTAAACATTGTGAAATGGGTCTCCAGCATGCAAGCCGCCATGACTAGCTATAATACCCAGAGTAAAATATAACAACCTCAGATTATAAAAGTTATGAATAATAACCAAATATGGTGAAAAGTACAGATTTTGGCACAAAAAAAACATGGTATATACACTAAAAAAAATAACCTTTGAAGTTGAGTCGATATAGGGCTGTACCTCTGTTAAAACATGAAGCTCCCTATCCTGGGTTTGAGAGTAGGATGATTCACAGAACTGGAATTTAAATCAAGGTGAATTTAGGGTAAAGAGAAGACAGCCCGTGGATAAGAGAATGAGGCTGTGGAACAAATCTTCACAGTTAAAATTGTTAAAACAATTGGGAAAAGGGCGAAAAAGGCTAGTAACAAGAAAAACAAAGATACACGCATTTAAGGATAAACTACGCATTTAGCACTCAAACTATTAATTTTAATTTGTTTTAATACTTAAATTATTAATATTTTTAAAATCATACTTAATATTTAGTTTTTGTTTCGTTTTATTACCCCTATATTGAAAACTTATCGCATTTAGTACTAAAGTATCAATTTTAGTCCGTTTTAATACCTAAACTTTAAAAAAAAATCAAAACTTAAGGTTAAATTTTAGATATTAAATACGTAATTTACCCAAAAGTTTATTTTAATTTTAAATTTTATAATATGAAACTATATACCCTAAATTTCAAAACATAAATTTAAACTCTAAACATTAAAATCTTAATTCTAAATTTGAAAATGTATAATATAAAATCTTAGATTTTAAAACTTAAAAATGAAATAAAAAGAATAAGCACATTTATCCAATTGGCTAAGTTGTTGCTTTTATTTTCTTATACGTTCTTAATTCAGGTTTTACATCCACTAGAAGCTCTCATCTTCTTTTCTTAGATTTTTTTTCTGTTTTCTTAAATTATGATTAGATTTAAAATTTATTAAAAAAATAAAATCGAAAATACCATCTAACTGTTGTCATATGTGATATTACAATATTGCCCTTACCAGCCCGTCATACACTTCCAAGTTACAGGGAGGAAAGAGACATGGGAATGACAATTTGTTATTATTTTCTCTTCACCAAATCATTTGTTAATTGAGTTTTTCCACATGGAAATGAGTCATACTTGATAAATATGGCCCAACGAAAGCGAACAAGCAAATGTATACAGAAAGACAGCAACTTCCACTGAAAACCCTCGGGAGTATAATTGTCGAGGTGTTTGTCTTTTTGTTGTACCCTAACGTGAAGTCGTTGTCGGAGGTAACTTGTAAGCATTATTGTCAATAAATTTACTTTATCGTCCAATCATGTGCTAGTCTTGGTTATGTATATTAGGGTCCGGTTATGCAAAATTGGATAGTGGATATCAGATTCGATCCGATCTGAAAATTTGAATATTTAAAATTTTAGAAAATTAAAATAACGACCTAAATCTGATTTGAAAAAAATCAGATATCTAAATATTCGACCCGGATATATTTAAAATGCTATCATCGACTAAACCATATTTAAAATGCTCTTTAAAGACAATGACAATTAAATGACGCCAAGTGAAATACTATGAACATCTATGTTTCTCTAGTTGATGATGGGGAACATAACACCAACAAACCTATCATTTCATAACTTACTGAAGTTGGGTGCAAAAGAAAGTAGGGATACTAATGTGAATCAAACAACTACAACATTAACATCGTGGATTGAGGTGGGGAAGTACAGAACCAATAGGTTGTGTTTCGTTATCTATTCTCAAATACACAAAGAATGTACTTATGCTTAGTCTGGCTTGCTGCCACCCAAATCCATATCAAATGCCATTTATTAAAACTTGTTTTTCGGATAGAGGCTCATTTATTTTTCGGATATTTGGATAATCTGAAATTAAGTTTTTTTCGATCTGATTATTCAAATTTTTTCGAATATCCGATCCGAATTATTCAAAAAATCGAATCGTATATCCGAATATTTAGATTTGATCAACTGATAAACAGGTCAGATTATTTTGATTGAATATTTTTGTACACTCCTAATGTATAATATCTCATCTAGTATATTCATAAGTAGATTCGTCCTAAAATATATGGAGGTCTTATATTATTTTCTAAAATGAGGCCCTCAAAATATTTTATAATAAGATAAATTTTAAAATATTAAAATTTACCGTATTACGATTTTTTTAAAATAAAAAATGCAAATATATGAAGTTAAGACAATATCATAAAATAACTCTATAATTATGATATTTTATTTAAAAAATGTCATTATTTGAACGGTTTTAAAAATAAAATCATAATATTTTTCTAAAGTATAGGGCTTTTGATTTTGAGGCATTATGGCGCATCACATTCCACTCTTACTATCATGGTTTTCAGAACCGACCGGTTAGTGAACTGGTCATGCTACCGGTTCACTGGTTCAACCGGTCGAACCAGTCTGACCGGTCGAAAGAACCGGACGACGTCATAATTATTTTAAAAATTAAATAAAAATATCAAAAATATTTAATAATTTTTTTATATCACAAGTCATATTCAAAGCAAGTCATAACATATATAAGTTAAAAACCATAAAATCAAGTGAAACAAAATGATTCAAATTAACTACAACATAATATTAAGGTAAAACATATTAAATAATAAATATAATTATATAACTATAATTAAAAAATAAATTTGGGGTTAAAAAAATCATAACAAAATGATATTGTTTGGTTTAATTTTTTTTAAAAAACAATCCCACATGACTAAGAAACATAGAAGAGCATTCCAAAAGTCTAAAGAGTAAAAATATGAGAACAAAACAATATCACATTGCTAAGAAACATAGAAGAGCGTCACAACTAACTTCTATAAATAATAGAGGTAATTTGACATTCAAAATCATTGAGCATTTTGGTGAGCATTGAGTGAACTATTCTTTCACTTCAATCAAGCTCGAATTTTAGGCTTCAATCGAGCTTCTAAATTTTTTTTAGTTCAAGCCTTTTTGAGTTCAAGTTTCAATATTATATTTCGAGTTTGAGTTGAACTTGATAATTTTTAGCTTGTGAGTTTGAGTTGAGTTGAACTTACTTTTAAAGTTTTCAAGTTCGAGTCGAGCTTAACAATAATCGAGTTCGACTTGGCTCGTTTAACAAACGACGTTGTTTGGTTTAATTTAAAAAAAAAACAAAATTCTCGGGTTTTTCCGGTTTTCAGCCGGTCCGATTCGAACGGTTCAGCGGTTCTGGACCGGTTCACTAGCAACGTTCAATCGATTTAGATTGAACCAGACTAAATAACGGTTCCGATTGAACCGATTGAACCGAAAACAGAGCTTACTATAAGACACGCATGTTCACAAGTCAACCAATTAAAGCAAAAGCGTTCGTGAAATTATAGATGATCAAGGGTTTATTTGTATAACAATTTACTATTAAATTTTATAAGAATTTATCGAGACTTTTTTTTTTAAGAAACGGGAAAGCAATTCATCAAAGCAAAAATAAAGACAGTAAACACTCATGTCCAGTTGTAACGCACTAAAGAAAAACAAAAGCAAAAAGTGGAAATGAAAGGATAAACATTAGCACTAAACAAACGAAACATATGGCTTCCTTTTTCCTTGCGTCGCTTTCGAGGTACTCCGATGAAACGCTCAGGCAAGAAAAAAAGAGGAATGCATAGAGCCTAACGAACATAAGATCACCAAAGGGGCTACGGGGGTCAATCCAGCGTCTGTCCTCCGCGGCCTGTTCTTCCACACACTCAGGTGCCTCTTCGATCCAGTAACTGTTCTCTGTTCCCATATCCTGATCCGAAGCCAGCATGTGGACAGTCTGGTTACCTTCTTTCGGAATGAAGTTAAAGGAGCATGCGTGGAGCAAGCAGGCTCGACTTTTGCCCTCTCATATCAACGCACTTATCATAGAGAGATCGATGGTCGGTGAAACAAGTTTCTCGATGACAGTCCTGGAGTCGCCTTCGAAGATAACGATGCTAAGCCTTAGGTTTGATGCGAACTCAATTGCATGTTCTCGGAATTGTCTTTCGGTTGAGTCTTGAAGTTAAACATCGATTTAGATTAAATGAATTGAAATCGTCACGATCATTTATTTTAAAACAAATATGTTGATTAGATACCTATTTATTACTTAATCTGTGTCTTTCTAAAGATATGTCGGATTCGGGAGTCGGTTACAGTTAATAAAGGTTAGCACTCTTTAACTGACATTTCGGTACTACGTAATTTTCAGTTGTCTTAAATTAAAAAATTGTAGTTTAAAATTAAAAGGTAAAAATACGATTTCAATTATTTACCTTAGATAATTTTAAAACTGTACCTTAAGAGAGTCAAAAACTATTAGATAAAAAAATAAAACTAAATAGAATAAAGAAATTAAAAAAATACCGAAATAAAGTATTAAAAAAGAGTGAAAATAAAAATGAATATGATAAAAAAAATAAAATGAAAAAAAAGAATAATAATGATAATAATATATACATAATAAATGAATAAATAAAAAATAATAAAATAAATACAAATAAATAAAATAAATATGAAGAAGATAAAAAATTAAAAATAAAAAATAAAAATAAAAATAAAATAGAGAAAAAAAAAGATAAATAAATATAAATAAAATAGAATAATAATAATAATACTAATAATAAAAAGTAAGTAAAAAGTAATAAAAGAAAATAAAATAGAAGTGTATAAGAATATAAATAATATAATATATATATATATATATATATATATATAATAAATATATATATATAAAAAATATTATACAAATAAAAAATAAATGAAAAAATGTATATATATAATAATAATACGTATAAATAAATAATAGAGAGAGAAAAAAATATAATAATGATAGATAAATGAAATAAAATAAGATAAAAAAAATAATGAATATGTATATAAATATAATGTTTTAAAAATAATAATAAATTAAAAAAAGATAAAACATATAAAAAATAATAATAATAATAATAATAGTAAGAAAAAAATTAAATATAAAAAAAATAAAATTTTTAAAGCTCTTCCCCTCCTATTTTCAAATGTCCGAACGATTTTCACAAAATAGCCTCGGAGTTCCGTAGATCTAAAAAGTTAGTTTCAAAAAAAAAACCCTCCGGTCAACGGCCTTTTGAGTTTTTTGTGGTTTTACAAATCGAAAGCAATAAACAAACGATACATGCAAGCCTAACAATAAAAAAAAGTAAGGTTTTTTACCTTTGTTGCCTTCGAAACTTTGCAAAAAAAATACTTTGATTGCTCTAAATTTTCTGTTCGTATTTCGTCTATAAATTGTGTCTTATAATAGTGAGTTACAATGACTATTTATAATGCTTATGAATCCTTTTTTTAGGAGTTTGAACCATAATAAAACTCTATCATATTTTTAGGAGTTTGAATCATAGTAAAACTCTATCATATTTTTAGGAGTCTGAATCATAGTAAAACTCTAACGTTATGTTTGTTTTCTAAATCCCACTAAATCGGGGTTGTTGAGAGTGTTGTACCCGAACAAAAAGGTGTGTTGACAGCTGCCCCTCTTTGCCCATAGTCGTGTAACGGGGATAGGGAAAAGATTAAAAGACACGCTTTTCGTTCGGTGGAGTTGAAAATTGACTCTGATGTTTCAATAACTCTCTGTCGAATTGAGTTGCGGATGACTTATCCTTCATGAGGTTGAGTTGAACTGGAAGCTTCTGAACACGATATCATTCGCCGTGAAGTTGAAATCGAACTCAAAGCTCTTGGCGAGTGGCCTTTGAATCGTCTTCTGGCTCAAGATACTTCACCGTAAAGGTGAAACTTGACCTGAAGACTTTGGTGTTGATGTGTTACAGATGACTCATTCTTCGTGAAGTTGGGTTAATCTGTTTGTAAAGTTGGAAACGTATAGGACCCCTTCGTCGTGAAGTTGAGCCTGGGTATTGGATGTCATTCGTCGTGAAGTTGAAATCCAATGTAAGTTGCACTGTTTCGAGGCCAATATCCTTCGCTGTGAAGTTGAAATTGACTCTGAAACTGAAAAGTTTGTTGACAGACTCCTTCTTTGAGTTGTATATCATTCGTCGTAAAGTTGAAATCCAATCTAGAGATAGATGCTTCTTGTGTGCACGATTCCCTTCGTCGTGAAGTTGAAATCGCGGGTGGCCCCTTCGTTGTGAAGTTGAGCCTCGAATTGGATATCCTTCGTCGTGAAATTGAAATCCAAGTAAGTTGTATTATTTTGAGCCCAATATCATCCACTGTGAAGTTGAAATTGGCTCTGAAACTGGAAAGCCCCTTCGTCATGAAGTTGAGCCTCAAATGGCACGATATTTGCCGTCATGAGTTGAAATCGTGGATGTGTGGGTACGATATCCTCCGTCTTGGAGTTGAAATCATGGATGGCCCTTTCGTCGTGAAGTTGAGCCTTGACTTGAATATCCTTCGCCGCGAAGTTGAAATCCAAGTATTGTATGTTGCGGGTGGACACGATTCCCTTCGCCGTGAAGTTGAAACTGTGGATGACCCCTTCGTTGTGAAGTTTGGCTTTGAGTTAGATATCCTTCGTCGTGAAGTTGAAATCTATTCTCGAGCAAATTGTGTCACTTCGAGTTCAATATCCTTTGATGTGAAGTTGAAATTGACTCTGAATGAAACTGAAATGTTGTTTGTTGACAGTCAGTCGCCCCTTCGTTGTGAAGTTGAGCTTGTGTTGTCTCGAGTCCAATACCCTTCGTTGTGAAGTTGAAATTGACTCTGAATGAAACTGAAAAGTTGTTTGTTGACAGTCAGTCGCCCCTTCGCTGTGAAGTTGAACTTGTGTTGTCTCGAGTCCAATATCCTTTGTTGTGAAGTTGAAATTGACTCTGAATGAAACTGAAAACTTGTTTATTGACAGTCAGCTTGTCTCGACTTAAGTTGTGCTGTAAATTTCCTCTAAATGAAGGATGACCCCCATTCGCGGGTCTAAACCGATCATAATTCTTTGGATGACCCCCTTCACGGGAAAGCCAAATTTTGTTAGCCGGATATCCTCCGTCGTGGAGTTGAAATCTGGCTTGAAAACGTGAACTGTATTCGTTCTGAATTAGCTCTCGAACTCTTTTGAAGTTAAGCAACCACCTTGAATATGTCAAATTAGTTGAGGTGTAGCTCCTCGCTGCTGAGTTAAGCAACCACCGTCGATTTTTTACAAACTCTTTTGAATCAAGTATCTTTCACCTTGAAGTTGAAACTTGACTTTAAAGCTGCAAAAATTATGTATGTGAAAAAAATGATAAATATGATGCTCTAAAATGTATGCATAATGAATTAGTTATTGTGTTATTCATCGGACAAAATCTCATTTTTTGTCTGTTGGTTCCTGCATGTTGAGGAAAGACTTTCGGAATATCTGATCGTTCGCATTAGGATTTTGAATCCCCGAATGCCCCAATATTCGATGTTGAATTTTCAAAAATGCCCCAACATTTGAAGTTGAATCTTCAAAGGTGCTCCCATTATTCCTCATTTCTTGCTTCAACATTGATTCTAAGCATGAGATTATTGTCTGAGAGCCACATGTCATTTACCAAGATCCACTCTAGAGAGATTGTCTTGTTTGAAAAAATGTTCTTCTTTCTCTTTTATTTTTAACGTTATGAAAATATCAATTAAAAGAGTTTCGAAAAATATTTAACCAAAAGTTTTGAAAATATTGCCCCTTTCACGATTTTACAATTGAGACAAATCATAAAACTAGAGTTCATTGGATATCAAAGAATTAATTACTTTGTTAATCCTTCAATAAATTATAGTTATTTGACAAGTGCCAAGATCAAAGTTGTCTTTGGGAAATGATTAAACAATTAAAAAAAAAGTCTCAGGTTATTGTGTTTGATCAACGATTTGGCATTTTTGTTTATTTGATTCTTAATGGTTTCATGGGATAGCTCGCATGCTCCTTTAATGGAAGTGTTCTCCGACTCTCAGCTTTCATGGTCACACTCAGATTGGGCGATGTCTTATCAAGGAATTTGTATGATCTCCTCAACTGTACAATTTTTATATTCGAGCCACCTTTTCAGGTTTTCAACTCGAATCCTCCTTTGGTTTCAAGGCATAATCAGAATTTACGTCTTGAACCCCCTTTGTTATTTTTCTCTATTATGCATTAAAGATTTTAGAAAACTTTTTGCAAATAAAGATTAATCCTGATGGACGAGATGAAAGCTGAAGATAGTCTATTCTGTTCAGAAATCCATATATGACCAGAAGGGACTTTTAAGGCACGTAATGTAGGTCATGGTTCATGGTTATGAAGGAAAAGGATAAATAAGCCCAAACAAGTGTTTCAAGGTATTGAACCAAGGATCAATTCATTCAGATTCCTTCAATCATGTCTTGCTAAATTTGAATATGCTCATATGTGTTTCTCTTGATTTTCTCTGGATGCTCCATGATATTCGAGTGACGTGATTCCGGAATGATTATGCTTGATCAATCTCATAATTTGAATCTTGATGCGTCATTTGAATCGAGATAATCTTTGCATATGTGTCTTGTCTTTTTTTTTCTTCACTTTTTCCTTGGTTTTTGTTTTTGCTTTTTATTTTTTTACTTTGCTTTTTCCTTTGTTTTTTTCTTTTTTTTTTGTTCTGATTGGATCTTCGCACTTGACATTTGGTATCTCTTTTGGATTGATGTATTCACTCATGTGAATTGATTTTTTCCACCTTGCCCTAGTGTGGAGGGTGATCATTGGTTAGGGTTGAATCAAAAGAAAAATACTATAGGCTCAAAAGGGGACACAAGAGATATATATTTTCTCCTGTTGTAAAGGGATGA